AATAACTTTGGAGAGAATTTTCAGCTTTACATTAGCCTATTTAAGTGTGCTGGGATTATAAACTTCTGACTAATCAAAACAAAAATAATCAAACTGAGTTCACTTCAGAATTTGAATTCTGATCCCAAATCTTAGTTTTTATCTAGAGCTTTACGGCAGACCTTGTCATTAAGACCCAAATACAGTATTTATTTTGATTACTGCTGTTTTCTTTTGTTTAGGTAACAGGGACTCCTTGGGGACATTTTCTTGGTTGGAGGAAGGTTGTTTGCAATGTATGAATCAAAAACATGTGATTATTTCAAAGTGCACAAAAACAAAAGAACAAAACAGTACCCAGAAGTGTATTATTTAACTTAAAAACAAAACAACCCGTGTTTTCCTTACTCAGTGACTATATTGTGAGCTGAAAATAACTGACAAAAATCTCAGCTCCACTGACTACTTATATGAAAAGAACCAGAACAGTTTCCTTAGATTGCAAGGAGGGAAAACTAGAGTAAAAGACAGCTTATCTGTTTTTTTTAAACTATGCTCCTGGCTACCATGAGCATCATGGGGTTACTCTGTTTCACCTGGCGGTCTTTTCGGCTCACCTCTTGAGCCTTTACCCGAGACCATTAACATAACTTTGTGGTTTTAAAAAAGTACTTTTTGGTTTAAAACAGAGGAGAAGGGATGGGAATAGAAGACAAGGAAATCCAGGCTGTGAAAGGACTGGTTTTTATACCTGTGACCCTCTGCTAAGGCACTGTGTTAAACCACCCTGCTGAACCAGAACCAGGAGCAGTTTCTTTGCAGCCTTCAGACACCCACTGTGTGGAGGCAGGTGGGGATTTACTTTGGCTATTCATGGATATGTGTTTAGATGCAGCTACCAACTGTATCTACAGATACTGGAAGTATGAGCAGCCTGACAAAGCTGCTGCAACCTCTTCCCTGAATACAGTTTAGACAAGTCTACTCTCTTCTCAAAACGTGTAATATTTTTACCAAAAGTGCTGTGAAGAACCAATCTAAAACACTGTCTTTACAGGCTTTCAGTCAAAAGCACTTTTTTTTCAGTATTCTCTTTGATAAGTAAATCCCTAAAGTTCATTAACTGGGGGATTTTTAAAAAAGTTATCCATATAAACAAACATAGAAACAAAGCAAACTCCAACATCTTTTCTTGAAAATGGGAAAGAGATTTACTGAAGGAGGGGGTGGCTGGTCTGCGGTGGAGGGAGGAGCAGGTGTCCTGGAAACAGAAGTGCTAAGTGCACGCTCCTTATCACTCTGCTTGGTTCTGCTGGGGGGAAAGACCAGTCTTAGCATTCCTGGTGAGTTAAAAGAAAAAAAAAAAAGGACTGCAAGGTGACATTATGATAAAGGACAAGCACATTTTCTTTCTTAGAGGGCATCTACCCTCAGCAACATTTAACCTGAGACACTCCCATGCCAGATAAAGGATTTTCAGTCATTTAGCAATGCAGTTCCTCTGCATGCCCAGCTCTCTCCCTCATCTGCATACTCGCATGGTTACACGCTTCTCTCATTTATGTCCTTATTTATACACGCTTTTCTGATACGAAATCCTCCAAGTTTCAGGCACCCCTACCTTCCCAGCTCTTCTTATCACACAGTTCAGTCAGGTCCAAGTGTGGCGCTTCGGAGACAAAGCTCTCCTGCTGGTCACCGGCATCTTGATTCCTCTGCTGTTTGCTGTCAGAGATGCTGGGATGCTCCTGAATCTTCATCGTGGGGCTCTGCAATCACAGCACAGTGTCCCTGGATATCTACTGCTCACCAAAACCCAAAAATGTCTGCAGCAATCCCACTCCTTCCGGATGCAGTCCCCAAGCCACAGCTGCTAATGCACCCAGCACCAAAACCAAAATCATGGCTTGCGGCCCCCCAGATCCTAGCTGGCCACTAGCATGCAAAAAGCGACTGTCCATCTGCGCTCCCTTAACTTTCCTCCGGCTGCTCTTCCTGATAACTGCGGGCAGCTGACGGTCTTGATTACTGATTGGGGCCAGGAAGGAGAGTAAGGAGTTTGTATTTTCTTAAAGGAGTATGGCTCTCCCGGCTGTAAACAACAACAAACCCCCCAGCTACTGCTGTTGCTAAGGCTGTAGCAGCAACATGGTGTCTCTCCCACGCAGACTTCTTGCCCTTTAGGTAATCGGTCCTGCAAAGCCGGGAGCACAGGCTGTGTACACGGACGCTCCCCTGCTGGCCCTGCAGGCTTAGATCAATTAAGCCCGGCGAGCTGCACATTCCCAGATTTCCTGTGGTTGTTTTCTCGCTGAGTACGGGCAGAACAGACTATTTATGGAGGAGCTCTGGGGTATTAAAGCATTGTTGCGCAAATTCAAACAGCACGGGTTTGGCGTCTCATCTCAGCTAGCAGCAAGGAATACAGACTCTGGAAATGAGCCAAATTACACAGACAGCACGACTTTTTTAAAGTAAAAAGTCAAGAGCTGGCAGGTCAGTGATGCATACTTTATATCAAAGAAATAGGCAGTGGTCACTTCTTTTCCTACTGTTTAGCTGTTCTGAGTATTAAATACTCAACTACACTTGGTTTCGCACATTGGTGGCACCAACACAGGCTCAGACATCCCAGGAATGGGAAAATCTTCCTCCAAAGGCCAATAATTCAGGCTCAGTGATTTTATGCTTTAAAAAAATGCATTGAAAGTAATTCTATCACATTGAAATTCACTCTTTTTTTTTTAACCTCGCTTTCTTGGCATCTTGTAATTCAACTATTATCTCTCTTTCCCCTCTCATCAAATCATAAACAAACAGGTTTCTAAAAGTGTTTACTCACAAATATATTTCTCTCAAGTAGCGCAGATCTGTACAAAAGATTTTTGTTTGGAAGTAAGTGGAAATTTATTTTAGCAAATAGATTATCATTAAATGAAAGAACTGAAAACATCTGGAAGTCATATATGATTTCATGAATGTATGAGAAATGTTCTTGGGGTTAAAATAAAGTACTCCTTAATACTTCCAGCTACTTTTAATAGCTACCCAACCCACTTTGAAATCACCAGGGGAACAGATAGAGGTTTTACTATTATATTTCCATGAAATGATGCATGAGGACCAGTATTTTCTTCACATTTGGGCTAAAATGGAATAAACAGCAGTCAGGTCATGATGAGCTACTGAAGTCAGATGGGAATGCCCAGGAAACCTGGAGCCATAAGACCCTTTGAAAAGCTGTTTGTCTGTTGGGAAAAAACAAATTAGGAATTTGTCACAAAGATTATTTCTTCTTTGACATAAAGCCTAACGGGACCAGGGTTAAATGCCCAAATCTGGTGCTCAGGTTTTTAAAAGTCATAGGGTCAGTTACCAGTTGTGTGTGTGCCTGTGTGTGAGACAGAGAGAGAGAGAGAGAGAGAGAATATGACACAGCAAACAAACATTTTCTCAACCAAGATAATGTTTAGAGACATCAAAAAAGGGGAAGAATACAGAAACAGGATTTCAATTTAAAGTATGGTAATTTTTTCATGAAAAACACATATCAAGCCCTATAAACTACAATGCCACGGGGAGACACAGTTTTGCTTACAGGCTGTACTGGGCCTCAAATGTGGTTCTGGCATTTCCCAGCCAGGTCCTCTGGCTGAGTTGTTTTCTCTTCTTTGAGCTTCATTTCCTCGTCTTTAAAATGTCACTAACCATACCAATCTTGCAAGGGCTTCGTTAAGAGCTGACAGGGAGTATGAAAGGCCTGTAGCGCAGTGCCCGAGGCGTCAAGTCATTCTATCATTATCTGGCACTATAAAGCTGAATGAGTCAAACATTGCCACGCCTCAAATTACTGCAGAAGGGGATTGGACAAGGTATATACAGCTACAATCCAGGGTGACACATACTGCAACAAAGGACAGATGATGTTCTAAATGCATTATGACAAAATAATAGCAAAAAGAGCCACTGGAGCATCAGTTACAAACCGGCAACAGCAACTTTGATGTGGGGGGGTAGGTGTGGGTGGGAGGGGCCAGGGAGGAGGGCCCTTCACACACAGGGAAGGAGAAAGAACAAGTGCAAAGGCAGGTGGGACCGCGGGGCACACTTGGTCACAGCAAGAGAAGAGGTCCTGGCTTGGCACTTGTAACTCAAGTGGCTAAGGCGCCAGCCATATATACCAGAGCTGGCAGGTTTGAATCCAGCCTGGGTCTGCCAAACAACAGTGACAACTACAACCAAAAAAAATAAAATAGCCAGGCGTCGTGGTGGGTGCCTGTAGTCCCAGCTACTTGGGAGGCTGAGGCAAGAGAATCGCTTAAGCCCAGGAGTTGGAGGTTGCTGTGAGCTGTGATGTCACGGCACTCTACCCAGGGCGACAGCCTGAGGCTCTGTCTCAAATAAAAAAAGAAAAGGAAGTCCCAGGTAGCCGCGAAGGGAGCATGGCAGATGATGAGGGTGTCAGCTGGACAGATGCCGGACCGTGAAAGGCCTCGTATGCTGGGCTAAGTATTATATGCTTACGTTAGATATAAATGTGCTAGGCTGTTATATATTTACATGTTATATAAATACGATATATATTACATAACAGGGCTGCCTATTACAGGAGCTAGAGACACAAAGATAAAACTTAATTCAAAAGAAATGACATTTGAGCACCTACCATGTGCTAGACAGTCTTTTAGACATTGGGGAAAGTGCAGTGGGCAAAATAAAGTCTCTGTCCTAATGAATCTCACAGGAAGGGGACAGTTAATAAACAAGAAAAAACATTAGGACTGTGGAAAAAAATAAAGCAAGGTGAGAGGGATGCTGGTGGGAGGGGTGAAGGTCTCTACCTGATACTGAGTGTTCAGGGAAGGCCACTCAAGTAACATGACAGGGATGTGCAGGAAGTGAGGATGTGAGCTGTCTAGGGAAAGAACACTCCAGAAGAAAAAGGCAAGAGCAAGGCACGGCCATTTCCATCAGATTCAGGAACAACTGAGGGCCACTGTGGCTGGGATCCAGCAAAGACCAGGAGGACCGCCGTAAATGAATGTTTAGGACGTTACCGTGCTTCGTATCATGAGGAATCGTTCACACCCCAGACCTGTGCTAACTTACACGAGCTCCTGGGCTTCCTGGCTGACTTACGGCACAGCAGTGCAGAGATCCCTCCTACACAGGCCCACGCCAACTAGCACAGCCAGGAACACACTTGGCATAGCCAATGCCTAGCCCACTTGGACACACACATGCAGGAAATACATGTGTATCCCAGCCCAGTCCTGCTGCACCCTTATCAATCCCTGAGTTGCTCTCTCACTCTCCTGCTGCTTTTAGAAGCCTGAGTGCCAACGTCTGGCTCTGCTGGTCTCTGTACCTGACGTGGCTGCCTTGCCTGCAGTTGCAGAATGGGCTACTACTGGTGGGTTTTGTGCATGTGGCTGCCTGGGATGTTGCTCTGTGGCTGCCCAGGGTGAGGCTCTTCAGGCTCTGTAGCAAAATACTAGCATAAAAACTACTCTGCTTTCAAATGCCCTGGTCTGAGTGAGGCACCTGCCAGGCTGTTCTGCACTCTCTAACAGTGCTTACCATACAGTACTGCCAATATGTTTGTTTGTCTGATTCTCTTCCTAGATCATTAAGGTTAAAACGTCAAGGGCGTTTTCAACTACCAAAATATTTTTAGTTTCAACTTTCATTGTTTATATGACTAATATCTTCAGTTAAATCAGAGAACAAATAAATTTCACAATTTTCTACCCAGAGATCCTTATGTTGTGATGTCACACACCAAACTCTTGTCAAAAATGCTGCCCTATATGAAAACACACTCAATATTCGTGTATTGAAATAAACTGCTTGGCTCTTAGGTAAAATAATGTGGAATGGCAGACTTAGGTAGGTTTTGAAGGCAGAAACCCACGTTTAAATATCAGCTTTATTAGCTGCAGAGCCTCCAATGAGTAAACCTCTTTGAACTTTAGCTTTTTTTCCCTGTGACACAGGAACAAGACTTTGTAAGATTGTTGTGAGGATTAAACAGAAACATGTATAAAGCAGATAGCTGATAGAAACTTTAACAATGCTATTTCCAATTATACTCTACCTCCTTTTCCCATCCAGCCAGCCAGCCATTCATCTGGCAAGATTTTATTGAATATATACTACGCCCAAGACCCTGGAGTTTAGGAGTGAACAGATATGAGATTTAGTGAGGAAGAGAGAGACACTGAACATTTAAGTGTCAAGCGTCCCTTATTTTATAAAAGAAAATCACAGGGTGCTAGGGAGCAAATACAGAGAGAGCTCACCTCGCCTAAGATCTCCAGTGACAGTTCACATTTGAGTCAAGGAGCCATTAGCTATGAATCTGTCAGGCTAACATTTGCCCAGGCCCGTCCCTTCCCAGCTGGGACTGCCTTTTATCTATTTCCAAACTTTATTGATCCTGCTCATTCCCTGGCTTCAAATAGTTGGTGAATTTTTGTTACATCCCTATTCCCTCCCTGCATAGGACGTGGATGACTGGCCTTATTAACAGCTTGCCAGAGCCAGGAATGACAGCATCAGATATGCTGTAAGATGCAGTTTGCACAGGAAGAAACCACAGCGCTCACAGAAGAACCACATGGAACCATAAACATTTACTGTTTGGCCTGACAATAAAGGAAAATGGGTAGAACAAATTTTTAATATCTAAGTGGACTTCCTTAGCTTTTCGCAATTAGACTGAATTAGAAATAAGAGTTTTAAAATTTTTCTAGTTCTAATATTAAAA